CTGTGGTGGTAGCGTCCAGATAAAGAGATAGACAATGGGTATGTCTAGGGATGGACGGATCACTGAGCAGTTCATTCCCCTTCCATCCCATCTTACTGGGAAATGGATCCAAACATTTATGCTCCTGTGAAACTGACATCCCAGGACAGACGGAGGAAGAGAGGGGGGTTGGAGAAGGGGCAAGGGCAGGGCCGGCGCTTCCATTTAGGTGACCTAGGCGGTCGCCTAGGGCACCAGGATTTGGGGGGCGGCATTTTGCCGCCCTTGGCGGCAATTCGGCGGCGGGGGGTCCTTCCGCGCTCCGGGTCTTCGGCGGCAATTCTGCGGCGGGTCCTTCACTCGCTCCGGGAACCGCCGCCGAAGTGCCCCGAAGACTGGGAGCGTGGAAGGACCCCCCCCACCGCAGAATTGCCGCCGACGACCGGGAGCGCGGAAGGACCCCCGCCTAGGGCGCCAAAAACCCTGGCGCCGCTCCTGTGCAAGGGCCCTTGCAAAGATCTGCTTTCTTCTGCTCCCTCGCTTGCACGTGCAGCCCGGGCAGGTTTGCAGAGCTGGGCTGGTGCTGTAGTTAATACCAGTGCCACAGCGCCCTGGGAGCAATTGCTTTCATTACCAGCAAGAGCCTCCTTAAACGCTTAATTAAAGATCCGCGGCGGGAGACACTGCCTGGCTGGAAAGCACCCAGATCGGCCTGGTGAACGGCCAAGCCAGGATGAACAGCGAGCTGAGAGCCGAGTGGTCCATGAACTGGGGTTTGGGAGACAGGGCGTTTAGCTGTACCTTACACTGGAAGGGGCAGAGACTCTTATTATGTGTTGTTTGTACAGCACCCAGCACCCTGGGGCTCTGAGCTGACTGGAGCTGTCATTTTCAAGGCTGACGGGCCCAGGGGCAGCTTCATCCTCTGGAGATGTTTGCAGAGCCATTGCACGTCTGAGCCTGGAGTGACGGGCAAGGCATGCAGGGTGACTGACTTTCTCCCGGGATTGGGGCGCAGTTCCTTTGCCGCTGCTGCCCCTTGCTAGGCGGGCTATCAGCGCCCTGCTCTGGGAGCTACCAGCTGCCAGCTCCCGCACAGCTGCCTGGCATGGTTCTAGCTGGCACGCAGCGCTGTGTTGGTGCAGAGATAAGATCGGATCACGTGTGGCAGATGGTTTTGTACCCCCCCTGCCAGTGCCGGGGTGTGCGTGGGAGGATCTGGGGCTGAGGGAAGGCCTGCAGCGAGGGAGGGGATAGGTTTGCAGAGCAAAAAATAAACACGCTGAAACCGAGGGCTGGGCCAACCGGCGTGAGATCAAGTGAGAAGCAGCCCACACCTTCCCTCTGAGCAGGAACTGATCTGTCCCCTGGAGTCCTGGCTCCCAACCTCTGCTCCTACCACTCAGCCACACTGCTTAGTTGTGAGACAGTCCCGTCCCCCCGGCTCCCTGCAGGGGATGTTTTACACCCCCCAGCCCACCACAGGGCCTCAGCCTGCAGGAGAGCAACAGCTGAACTGGTTTAAGTCTGGCTAAGATCCGGTGCAATAGGGCACCTGCTCCCCCCGGGTGCTGGCCAGAGCCCCCAAGGGGAGGAGGATATCAGTGAAATCCAGCGACGCAAGAAACTCTCTGCTCCCTGCTCCTGGGCCAATGAGGGGCTGAGACGCAGGGGCGATGGAGGAGCGCCACCCTGTGGCTCCTCTCAGCCACCGCAAGCGGCTGAGCTGGCTGGCTCTGGAGTGGGGGAAGGGAAGGCTCTCTGTAAGGAGCCAGAAAGCCAGAGTCTGGTTTCAGTGGGCCTGTCGGTCATGTGAGAACAAGCCGGGGTGCTTTCCCCACCAGCTGTCCCGCCCGGTGTGGCTTGGGCAGGGTGACAGCCCTCATGCTGCAGGGCACAGGGACAGGAAGAATTCTTCTCCCCCCGGTCCTACCACGTTGGGCAATGTGCTAGCTGCTGTGCTGAGTTACGGCGGTACTGGAAGCAGGATGCCACGGCACCTCTCTTCCGGTGAGATCAGGCAATCTCTGAGCACTAGCCAGCTGCTCTCAAAGTGACAGGGCCCAGCACAGACACCAGAGGCCGGGCTGGCTTTGCCCATGTGCCTGGGAGCCCACTGAAAACAGCAGCATTGCGTGGGAGACCAGTGGGCTGGGTAGCCCCCGAGATGAGTGCCTCTCTCTCCTGACCGCGTTCCCAACCCGGATCCCATCTCAGCTCATTTGGGAGCCACAAAGACCATGTTGCTGAGCGGCTTCGTGCATTAGGGTGAACAGGAGAGATTGCAAACCCGGGGAACAAAAATCACCAGGGTGGGAAATGCAACTAGTGTCGGGGAATCACACACCAATACTCTGTGGGAGGCATAACACGCAGACGCTGAAATAGACCCAGAATGGGGAGGCGTTTGCTTTCTCTGTCATGTCCCCCACTGGCGGGGGCGTCTGCCTGCAGATCCCGGTAGTCTGCCCCAGGGCACGGCCCGATACCTACCGTGGCACCGATCCCCACTTCCATGCAAGTGGGAATGAAGCCGCCCCCCCTGAACCCGCTCTGCCGGCACCATACGCAGCGGCCCGTCTGCTCAGCTCACCCCGGACACAGTACCCAAGGGCTCCAGACTCTGCACAAAGCCTCCTGGGGGATTGGCTCTCGCTCCCTCCATGCCAGTGATTTTGCCCAGGTGGCTACACTCCACTGAGACAATTTAAATAAAATTTAAATTTAAATGAATGGAGATATCCTATCTCCTAGAACTGGAAGGGACCTTGAAAGGTCATCGAGTCCAGCCCCCTGCCTTCACTAGCAGGACCAAAGCAATGGGGAGGCTCACGTGTGTGGGAACCTCCCCAGGAGCTGAGTTTAGACTTTGGAACTCACGGCTACATGAGCTAAGGATCACCACAGCCGTCTGTTCAGAGCTAAATGCAAACCCCCTCTCTTCCTTCACATGCATCTGCAACTGCATAGACACCCAGCCAGCCCCACTGAACCATACACAAACCAAGGTGCTTCTCCTACAGACCGGGCAGCCACAAACACCTGGGATCCCTGGACCCTCAGCTTGGGGGGGGTTGCGGGTCTGGGGATCCCAGAACCCCTACATGGTGTGTGTTGATCCCATCAGCTCAATTTCTGGGGCACCGGCATCCCCTCCTGCCCCCTACCCTGCCCTGCAGCCTTGCTTGTGGCATCAGAAGATCAGTGCCCGGCACTGAGGGTGCCCGGGTGCTGTTGTTTTGGGGCCCCATTACTCACACCTACAGCTTAAAGCCAGGTGCAGGTACCCAGTCCAAAGTGCCTCAGTGCATCAGCCGTCAGGTGCTCGATCAGCCACCCGCTGTGCCTCTCCAAGGGGGAGCAAACAACGTGCAGAGGGGCACAGGAACGCGCCATCGGCCCAGCAGGAACCATAGCGGGCCGGCCTCTTGTTCTATTCCTGGCTCCCACGAGCACGGCCTCCCTCTCTGCCCTGGAGCGCATCGCTTGGCCGCTCTGTGCCGCAGCTTCTCCACCGCGCATCATGGCCATGACGCTGCCTGTCTCCCAGGGGGAGCTGGGAGGCCCAGGTCAGCCCTCTCCAGTGCTCGGCTGAAATCGAAGTAATTAATGCTAACGCAGGATGTTTGTCAAGCGTCAGCGAGCACAGTTAGTACAGGCTACAGTCAGTATACCAGGCTCACTCAATCACCACTGGGATGCAGCCACCTCTGGGGTGGGCTGCAGCAGCTGCTCGATGGTGCACAGCAACACTCCACAACCACTTAGCATAGGAAGCCACAAATAATACTGGGGCCGGGTGAAGCAGCAGGAGAGTGGAGTTTAAAGCCCTGGGGGGGTGTTTAAAAGGAGGAAAATAGCCTTGCCCAGCATACCGTAAAGCAAATGTGACCTAAAAGGCTGGAGCGTGCCACCTTGAGACTATGCTGGCGTGCGTGGGACCCTGCAGGGCTAAGCCCCAGAGCAGAAGGCAGTGAAGTGCAGCGAGCGCTGTCAGGAAACAACGGAGGAAATGCGAGTGCAGAATTTCTGCTCTTCGGCCGGGTTGGCCTCTGTTCAAAATTCAAGGCACTCGCTGCCAGTTCCAAGGAGCCCTGGGCAGGGAAAAACCCTCTCCCTGCTCCCAGGGGAGCGAGGTTAGTGAGCCGCCTGTCAGGCAAACTCAGGCCAGAACCCGACATGGTACAGGCTACGCGGCCTTGGCGACGCTAGACTGTGCAATGAGTTGGTGAAGACGGGCAGACAAGACACCTTCAAATGCCAGCCTCGACGTAGCCACAGGGGGAACCAGCAAGGAAATCAGCTCCTCCCTCTAGTCCAGGGGCGGGCAAACTTTTTGGCCTGAGGGCCACATCGGGTTTCGTAAATTGTATGGAGGGCCGGTTAGGGGAGGGGGTCATGGCC